CATAACATCACGCCTTTTATCCCCGAAGGGGTAGGCAGAGGTGCACACAGAAGTAACACCCACTTTTCACTATTTATGTTATGAGTCCCATGTAATAGGGGGTGAGCCTATTGCCATATACCGGGCACATTTCCAGACTCCTGAGAATTTTTTAAAAACCCAGTAATACTTTGCCCGACCTGGGAATCAAACCCGAGACCCCTTGCACGGCAGTCGCACTCGCGACCACTCGGCCAACGAGGAAGTCAAAGTATTTTTATTTTATCACTTTTATTTTGAATTTTCAATCAACTTCCTGACTTATCGTGACTCGAGATTTTAGAACTAGTTACCTATTCAGCGACGAAGCAGGCTTAGTCTTAAGAAGGGTTGGTCCGTCCGGCTGTAACTTAGCCAAGAGCGCTTAAGAAAGAGTATTATTTATGCAATATAAAACCCAGCTATCGACGAGACATTTTAAGCATCTTACTAACAGAAACGTGTAACCACAAAGTACGTACTTTATTAGATACTTTATGTTTTACAACAGACTTACAAGATTACCATTATGGTTAGGTGTATTCAAGATTTTTAAGGGGTGAAAATCATCAAATGACTTCTTCCGCCTGGGTGCGGTGAGAGGGAGTATCAGACTCTTACTGACTAAAAACCAGCCTGATCCTGCTCTTGCACTTCGAGTGGTCTATGGTGGCCGAAGATAGTCTCGCCATCCCTGACGCCCGAAGTGTCCTTCACGACGACTGGGTTGTAAGGAGGATGTAGATCTCTACGCTCCCCGCCTCCTCCATAGCTTAGCATGAGTGCTTTGCAAAAGGAGGAGACGACATCCCGGTCCTCCTCGCTCCGCATCAGCTCATCGTCGCCGGTGACATTCCTGAGGGCACGGCGGTACTCAGCCCATGCAGGGTATATTCAAGTTAAATTCTGTATTACACATTTTATTATTTTGTCATTTTGATTATCTATGTTTGTAGTTTAGTTCTCTCTGCTAGTTTTAGATTACCATTCTCGACCTTATTGTTTAACGTTTGTTGTTAATCACAATTGATAGTTTTGCATCGTCTTCGTGACGCTAGATTTGTACCATGAACTTCAAACATTAGTAACGAAAAGTCAGCTTTTAAAAGAGGGACGCTGATTCTTCCACTCATAATTTTTTATTAAGAAAAAAAAACAAATCAATATCTGGCTTTCGCGCACTCAAACACATAACCAAACAAAGAATAATAACTATTTCTCCCTACCACCACTGAGACTATAAAATTTAAAAAAAAACTCAATAGGTGACACATTATTCCATTCCAATCCGGAAATTAACCCAAGAACTCAGCTGTCGCAACAATTCTAATATCGTATTGTAATGACATCACTGTGTCAATGTCACATGCTTATATTAACTTTCAGGTCGTATGTATTTCAGTAGAATTTCAACTTAATGTGATTTAGAATACAGTTGAAAATTGTTTGAAGATTAAAGTAGGGGTACTGACTTGACTCATACGAGTAACATACGATTAATTAAATTCAATGAAATTGTTTCACAACCTTGATTTTTACATTTGAATGTTGTTGCAATAACCTCCCTTTGTTTATTCTTATAATTTTATTGTTTTTAATTATTGTTTTATTTTTGTTTTTGGATTTATATTCATTGTAAGTATATTGATATGAAAATAATATGTAATTTTAAAAACATTTACAAACAAAACAAACATGTTTAAAACACTGAAGGTTTTGAGTGCATTAAAATTTAAGTTTTTAGATTAAATTATTTGGGTTTATTTAGAGGTACAGTAATGTGAAGTAAATAATATTTTATTTAATTTTACCAATACTTATTTGCACAAACAATTTTTAGTGTATTAATGGTTTATAAAACCGAAAGTATTTTATTTCCGACTTTTGCGTTTTTTAATTACCAATAAATTTGACACGTTTATCATTTATCATTATCATCACTACGTAGGTATCTGTATTTTTAGTCTAAACTTCATGGTAGGTACTACGACAAAGAATAAAGAAAACCTAAAATACCTACATCTACTATCTATATAAAAATAAGTCGGGTTTTCCTTCTTGACGCTATAACTCCAGAACGCACGAACTGATTTCCACGGTTTTGCATCCGTAAAGGTCTCGGGCTCCGTGAGGTTTATAGCAATGAAAATTCTGAATTAAAAAGTTTTCTTTATTTTTTAATCACCAAACGAAATGTTACATAAAACGAAACCACCTGGTGGCGAAACGGAGTTCGCCGGGTTTGCTAGTTTATTATATAATCATTGCTCCAGGAACTAAAATCAACCTATCTCAATCTCAAAGGACAAAGAAGTCAAACAAAAAAAAACATCTTCAAGAAAGTAATCACTGCCATGGAAATAAGAAGCAGCAATGTGTACGTTGCATAGAAATTGGGTTAATCATAATTGATCTCCGAGACCCCCAGGTGGGTAAATAATGCGGAAAATTAACCCTGGCTAATTACGAGGCGTCGGAAACCAGGCGAGATTTTTGAAGGGGTAAACTTTGATACTGTGGTGTGTAAAAAACTGTGGATATTAAATTATTATTAACCGTTTTAGGTAAAAATGTGATCAAGTAAAAACAAGTATAGACATCGTTGTAGGATATTCGATTTCTTTTAACATTCTACGTGTGAAATAAATATTTTCTATACTAATTCTATGACAAATTTTATTACATAAATATTCATACGGTTGTATGCGAATGCCAAAAACGACACACCAACGTCAACGCATAACATTTTCAAGGTTGAATTTTCGGCACTTTTAAAATTGAATATCTTTTTTCTCCCGCAAGCTACAAATTTGACCCGATACAATAAAATTATGCATATTTAAAGGCCTTTCTGACGATATCAATTTCAATTTGCTACGTGGGTACGGTATGACTCATTGTTCTTTGAGTGTCTCCAACACTTTAACAACAGAACAATTTAGTGTTGAAAAAAAAAGGCGCGACACGAATGGGCCGGCCCGTCCAGAGTGATTCCATGGCTTCCCAGAGCCTGACATAGAACAACAAGCTTACCGAAGTCCTGATCCTCCTTGGTTATCATCAGGTGACCGAACTGATCGTTTGCCACGTTATTGAAATAAATATAAAGATTATAATTTCTTTGTTTTATTATTGGTAATTGATGACCGCTGTCTCGCCTGATGATAAGCGACGATGCGGCCTATGATGGAGCACGCATAAGCAACCTAGTGACTTGAGACTTGAAGACACCCTGGCTACTAACTAAAACCTATTGTATTTGTAATTGTCGCGGAGAACCTAACGGGTTACCGGGGCTCTGGTTCGACGTGCAGGAGAAGGAACGGGGTGGTTTTTAACTCGTCGAGTATCGTCATTATAGACACAACTATAGAACAATAGGTTGCGGTCACCGGTGTCCTCGCGGTGTTGACTGTGTAAGTAAGAGTCTGACACTCCCTCCCGCCGCACCCAGGCGGGAGCAGTCATTATATGATTTCCCCCCTTAAAAAAATGTATTTGTAACTATGTACATTATTAGTGTCTTAGAATCTCTTTTTGAGTACGAAACTATAGCTATTTCAACTAGGTAGGAAGTTATTTGAACGATACAGGCACAAGGCTATTCCTTTGAAGTTTAGGCGCTGTCAAAGCCAAATGGTTGTAGCAATTTTTTTATTTTTTTGTAAGCTGCACCTGCATGAAAGTAAGCTATGTATGGAAAGTGTACGGTCTTTTAATCTACGATATTTTTGAGAAAACCACTTCGTTAGTTTAATGGCTGTTCAAGTAATTGGACGAAATTCTATATTTCTATCCTATTATCCTTATTTATTTATCATTTCATGTACATACCTACACCACACAGACAATATTACAAAGGACAACACATTACAAGCATGAGGTACATAGGTACTGCATATCCCTTAAGTGATTTCTTCCTGCAGACCTCCGACAAGAAAAGGAATTTAAACATTAGACACAATTTAAATGTTACATGCAATGAATACATAACAAAATAGAATAACTGAAAGAACTTAAAACCAAAATCACCGGAATGACATGTTTTGAGGTTATACAGCATTTGAAATGTCACAATTTATACTCAGCACAGTTTTGATTGTATTTTTGAAATAAAAGCAATTTTGTACTGAAAAAAAAATCATCGGAATATAATAAAATATATAAGCAAATTATAAAAAAATAAAAATGTAGACATATTTAAATACGATTACATATGAAGACTTTTGACAGTAATGAATCGTTTATTTCTATAAAAAACTTAAATAACAAATATTATCTATACATATAATAAAATTGTAGAAAAGTGCTGTCTGTACATTGAAAATAAAAATAAAAAAAATAGCAGGGTCTATTGTTATGTCGATGTCGAACCCAAAAATGTAACTAACTTTTTTTTTGTCTGTTTGTCTGTTTGTCTGTTCACGCTAATCTCAGAAACGGCTTATCCGATTTGGATGCGGTTTTCACGAATATATTGTGGTATGTTTCAGTTATGCTTTAGTGTTTGTTTCATGTCAATCGGTTCATAAATAAAAAAGTTACGTCAAATTAAAGAATCACGTCGAACACTATCTATCTATCTATCTATACATATAATAAAATTGTAGAAAAGTGCTGTCTGTACATTGAAAATAAAAATAAAAAAAATAGCAGGGGCTATTGTTATGTCGATGTCGAACCCAAAAATGTAACTAACTTTTTTTTTGTCTGTTTGTCTGTTTGTCTGTTCACGCTAATCTCAGAAACGGCTTATCCGAGTTGGATGCGGTTTTCACGAATATATTGTGGTATGCTTCAGTTATGCTTTAGTGTTTGTTTCATGTCAATCGGTTCATAAATAAAAAAGTTACGTCAAATTAAAGAATCACGTCGATCTCTATCTATCTATCTATACATATAATAAAATTGTAGAAAAGTGCTGTCTGTACATTGAAAATAAAAATAAAAAAAATAGCAGGGGCTATTGTTATGTCGATGTCGAACCCAAAAATGTAACTAACTTTTTTTTTGTCTGTTTGTCTGTTTGTCTGTTCACGCTAATCTCAGAAATGGCTTATAAATATATATATATTTAACAGGGTGCGGAAAAGGTGATAGTGGTTTTATTCCTCAGATTCCTCTCATTCCAAAAAATTTTCCGTTTAATTTTAAACGAATTCAGTTTCCAGTGAGCCTATGTTTCGCCATGACAATTAATAAAGCTCAAGGTCAGACTCTAAAAGTTGTGGGTATAGATCTAAGTATCAGCTGTTTTTCGCACGGTCAATTGTATGTGGCTCTGTCCCGTGTTAGCAATCCCAGCAGCCTGTATACCCCCGATGGCCATACGTCTAATATTGTATATAGAGAAGCATTACAGTAAAGTAGGTTTTTTAGCTACCCAAAATGACTGTGATTATGATCCAAATCTAAAATAAAAATAAGTATTTATTTAAAAAAAAAACGCTGCTCATAGTCACTATTCTACGCGAACGAAGTCGCGGGCACAGCTAGTACTTAAATAAAATTAAAACTAAATATTACTAAATTAAATAAATACAACTTAATATTACATATTGTTAGTTATTTTGTTTTAGTTAAAGTATGTAAAGGTAAATAGGTAGATAGATATAAACTTTATGTACACCAAGTAAGTAATATTACAAAATCATAATTTACAAAGAACAAGAAGACGTGAGTGTGTAATGCAATATTTCTATTAAATTTAGAATGAAGTAGAGTGATATTTTAAACTACTGAGATGTCTGCCTAAATGTAGTTTTTGTAATCACACCTCAGTCTCACCGGTTTACGTTAGTATTTTATTTAGAAAATTCAAATCCAAAAATATCGCAACAAATTATGAAATAAGTA